GTGAGTTGCTCATTTTTGTTATAGTAGAGACCAAGAGATGGCTAAGACAGAAAGAGATATTAAATGTGTTGTTGTTGGAGATGGATCTGTGGGTAAAACCTGTATGTTAATATCCTATACTACTAACTCATTCCCTGGAGAATATGTCCCTACTATGTAAGTGAGTGATTGAGGTAACCCTCTCTCTTTAAATCACTACCATCTCTTGTATAAACTTGATTATGTACTATATACTATTGATTGTATATACTCTCCTTCCTCTTCTCTCTCTCTCTCTCTCTCTCTCTCTCTCTTTCCCTTCAGTTTTGATAATTACACAGCTAACGTTTTCGTGGATGGGAGACCGATAAGTTTAGGACTTTGGGACACGGCTGGACAAGACGATTACGATAGGCTCCGCCCACTCTCGTATCCAGACACTGATGTATTTTTAATATGTTTTTCACTTGTCAATCCAAACTCATTTGCAAATGTGGCCGATAAATGGTGGCCTGAAATCGGTCACCATGCACCAGGTAAGAGGAGGAGGAGAGAGAGGGAGAGACAGAGGGAGGGAGAGGAGAGAGAGAGAGGGGGGAGAGAAAGAGAGAGGGGGGAAGGAGAGAGAGAGGGGGGGGAGGGAGGAGAGAGAGATTATTAAGATGTGACTGATACTGTAAGAAAGATAAAGATGTATATTCATATCTTGTAAGATGTAATGATAGAATCTTTAAATGATCTACAACAGATACCATCATAATATCTAGTATACTTGCAAATACATGTACACTGATTATCATTGATAATATTTATAATTAAAGTCTTGTTTTGTCTTCTCTCCTTAGGTGTCCCTAAGATACTAGTTGGTACAAAATTGGATTTACGAGACAACATGGGGGAACTAGAACGACTTCGTTCAAGAAACCAAAAGCCAATAACGATAGCACAAGGAGAGGCAATGAGAAAAAAAATTAGTGCCATATCGTACAAGGAGTGTTCGGCCTTGACACAAGCTGGGCTAAAAGATATATTTGATGAAGCGATCAAAGTGGTCCTGTTTCCAGAGCAACAGAAAAAGAAGAAATCAAAGTGTCTCATTCTTTAGTCCATGACCTCAAGATATTAATAATAATAATTATGGTAACAAAATAATAATAATAATACTAATACTTGCTATTGATTTTACATTAAAATGAAACATTCACGCTTTCAGTAAAAATGGAGTCTCTCTCATGTGTTTCAAAATATCTTATGTATTTGTATGAATTTCTCTCACTATCTCTCTCTTTTTCTTTTCATTTATTATAAGCTGTTGTTTTTGTTTATTTTTGTCTGTCAATTCAAACAACATCTCGTCCTATTCTGGTAGTTTAATAATTATACTTTGATAATAATAAAACAATTATTATTATTTCATTCTCTAATCATCACATGGGTGTGGCTGTTATGACATCACATTATCATTACAATTTATGACGCAATCGTGGTCAGCCCTGATAATTATTGATTCCGAAATTCCAACTTAATGGCGATGGGGCGAAGGGGAATATCGAAGCAACCTGTCCTTTTGATTGGTGTTTGTGTCTTTGGGGCCTGTCTCCTACGTAAGACTGGTCTTCTTTTACTATAATAGTCTTATCTTTCCCTTTAGTGTTTCTCTTTATGAGAGGTAGGCCAGCTAAGCCCGCCCCAGAGGCAGAGCGCTCACCCTCCTCTACTGCCACTGGCCTGGATCACCTCAATACTGTAGCCACCACTGCCAAAAAGTAAATATAATATGTTTCCCTTATTTATTAATTTTTTGTTTGTTAAAGTGATGACAACGAGCTCAAGTCACAGATCAAGGAAGCAATCAGTGAGGTGAGTATTAATAATAATTATATATTATTGTAATTCATTAAGGGGCGATCCCATCAAGCAAAGCTGTCATGTACATGTACATACAATAGATCTTGATGCAGTTATAGACTAATGTTGATGATAATACTACTTCATCATTGTACATGTATGACTGATGTACATGTAGCTCAGAACTTAACATGGCTTATATACTTACCACATTACCTTTATTAGAGTAATATTAGGAGCAGTTAAAGTATTGCTTGAGGCATTTAAAAGCAAAGCGTTAATTAAGATAGCTATGGAAGCAGTCACTGCACTAATGAGGTATAGCTATGGATAGCAGCAGAGGAGGTATAGTATGACACGGTTGAACTTTGATCAATACTGGGAAAGTTCAATAGCATTCCATTACTAGTATTGCATCATCCATAATGATCCAAAATGGCCAAGAATCTTTCACTAGTACCACTTGTAGCCATTAACTAAGAGGATCAAGATACAATCTTTCATGGCTTTACTGGAAACTATGATGATGAAATATATTGACAGCAATTAAAGTTACCAGACTAATTGCTTTATTAATTAATAATGAATTATTTGTGTATAAATATATTTATTGTTTGCTCATGTCCACCCACACAGTGTTGTTTAATTGGGGAATCTTCCTGGAATCCTTTGATGCCTTACAAAGCAATGATTATAGCTGTTTAGTCTTAGAGTTAATTTTTAACCCCATCCGTGAAAGAGTTAATAGTTTATGAGGAATTATACAAAATTATTAAATTAATTTTTAACCCCATCCGTGAAAGAGTTAATAGTTTATGAGGAATTATACAAAATTATTAAATTAATTATTAAATATTACCCTTTCTAATGTGAGCCTATAAATTTTACTTTGATTGACAACCATTTGCCAGAATAATAAAAATCCATTGTTTTGAGCTACACGTACATGACCACAAATTAAAATCTCCTAATCACCAAATATGTATCAGTTTGCAAGAAAACTTTAACACTACCAGCTGTAATTAGTCGAACTGGCAACAGGCCAATACTTACAATGTACAGTGTAGTGTGTAGTATGTGTGTGTGCCAAAACATACAATGAATGGACTGTAATCTGTCAGGTGTCAATTTCCAACCTACATGTATGGTATCAATATGATCACTGTTAGATCTAGAGGGAGTTTAGGAGAGTTTTGGTCTCCCATATTTGGCCTATGGCGTCTTGAAATATACCATTCTTAGTTAGATTAGTCTTTCAATTCATATCCAACAATTATTATTATTATTTATTTATTATTACTAGAAGCAATGTAGAACATTAAGGGGCGAGCCTAAGCTAGCAAAGCAATTATGGCACTGGATCTATCCATCTATAATCTACTCCCGATGATTTCAAAGCATGCATCATGATTTAGGCATAGCAAACATGATTTACATGATGAAAGTTTAATGCTGCTGATAAAATTAATAAACTTTTAGTCTTCTAGTTTCACATACACATTTCTTGCCTATAAATGTCTGTAAAGATGCTTTACTTAGCTTTAGATATAATATTATCCAATATTAAGATGACTCAGAAAAAGCTTGATTGACTTTCACAGTTTTAATAGCAATTGCATCAGTAAAGACGAGCTTCATAGGTTATTAATTGAATTTAAAACCTTCTGTAGCTGCTGGGGAAGTCTTTGGACGGTATCTGCCTTATATTGCTGCTAGAAAGCTCATGAATTCTTCCAGTGTGTTGGTTGCCATTTTTATTTTACTGTGACCGCTCCCACTTTCAATGAAAAATTGAAAATTGCATTGGTAATGCATAGTATCTATCTACCGTATTAAATCTACGCATAAATAGGGGTGACGTACGAGGACAGACATACAGACAGAGGGACAGACGGGGCGTGACTGAGAGTATAGCTAGAGTGGGGCGAGCTCAGGCTCGCCCCAATTATTATTTTTATTATAACAAAATCAGACACAATTATTATTATCATTATTATTATCATTATTATTATTAATAGGCTAACCACAATATTGAACGAAGATTGACCAACCTTGAGCAAACGTACGTCACTCATTAATTAACATTATTTTATTATTATTATTATTATTATTATTATTATTATTATTATTATCATCATTTTTTGTTAGTTGATCAGATATACCATTTGGCATCCCCAGCCTCTCCAGTGAAGTATATGTATAATCCAGTGAAGACAATAAAGAGCAACACCATAGGAACCATTAATGTACTAGGTATGAGTATGTACTGTATTGTACAGTGTATGTGTATTGTGATCTGCAATGTTATAGTGCATGAGGTGTAATAAAAATTTGAGATGATTTTGGAGCCATTTTTTGGAAAAACCATGGGCTATATAGCCTTGGGTATTTTTCAGAATTTTGACGTTTTCTTGAAATGGCTGTAACTTGAAAAATATTTATCGGAATCAGCTCAAACTTTTTACATAGCATAAGGACATCAACATGTATCAGAAAATGTAATAAAAATTTGGGGTGATTTTGGAGCCATTTTTTGAAAAAAAACATGGGCTATGATTCTTCTTTAATTTGTTTGTTTCATTTTTGTTGTCCTTGTTTCAATTGTGTCTAAATGTTTTTCTGTTCATGTATTTATTTATGTTCTAGCATTATTATTTACTATGTAATTTTAGGTGGCCAGTCTTGTTACTGTGTTTGCCTTCGATACATCTCTTTTTTGTTTCTTTTCTTTTTGTCACATTTTATAGTATGTATTGTAAAGTTTATTAATAATAATAATAATAATAGCCTTGGGTACTTTTTAGAATTTTGACGTTTTCTTAAAATGGCCATAACTTGAAAAATTAGAGTTGGAATTATCTCAAACTTTCTACACAGCATAAGTACATCAATATGTATCAGAAAATGTAATAAAAAATTTGGGGTGATTTCGGTGCCATTTTTTGGAAAAAAACCATGGGCTATAGCCTTGGGTATTTTTCGGAATTTTGACGTTTTCTTAAAATGTCTGTAACTTAAAAAATTGAAGTCGGAATCAGCTCAAACTTTCTACACAGCATAAGTACATCAATATGTATCAGAAAATGTAATAAAAATTTGGGGTGATTTTGGAGCCATTTTTTGGAAAAAACCATGGGCTATATATAGTACAGGGCAGAGGGTAACTGTAACTGTCCAAATCAAAAGTCACTCCCTCTCCCTCTCTCTCCTCCAGGTTTGGCTAAGAGAGTGAAGGCTAGAGTACTGTTTGCATCAACATCAGAAATATACGGAGACCCTGAAGTAACTAACAATAATAATAATAATAATAATAATAATAATAATAATAATAATAATAATAATAATAATAATGCTATTAATCATGATGCTAATTACTAGGAGCATCCCCAGAAGGAGACCTATTGGGGTCATGTTAATACGATTGGTCCCAGAGCTTGTTACGATGAGAGCAAGAGAGTCGCAGAGACCCTCATGTACGCCTACTCCAAGAGAGACCATATTGATGTACGAGTGGCCAGGATATTCAATACTTATGGCCCCAGGATGCACATGTATGATGGTAAGATCTGCTGTTACAATATGAGATACTGTTATTGTGTTACCACGTATTCGTGGCCCAAAATTTTCGTGAATTTTGCATTTTTTTCAAAACCTTCAAAAATAAAATTCACAAAAATCAATTTAATATGATTCATCACGGCCAGCTGTACATGCAATGTGGTGAAAGCAATTATAGGAATATTTTTATACTTATTCTAAATTGCTGGGGGAGAGAATTCTTTATTTTGTTTTTCTTCCTTAGGTCGTGTAGTTAGTAATTTCATCGTTCAAACATTAAATGGTCACCCACTAACAGTCTATGCTCCAGGGAACCAAACACGATCGTTCATGTATGTGAGTGATCTCGTTAGTGGACTAATGAAACTGATGAACAGTAATTATTCATTGCCCTGTAACCTGGTATGCTATTAATTAATAATGTATACTGTATATCGGGTATATTTCAATGCATGAAAAGTCGTGGAAATATTAAGTTCAATGATGGAATAATTCGGAAGCCTTTTATATTCCGAAAATATTTTACTTGCTATTATTTCCATCAACCACCTGGTTTGGTAAGTCATTCGAAGCATTTGCTGACTTCTCCACTTCTGAATCAACCTTAGCAACACTTCTAACTGGCAAAGAAGGCTCTTTATGGCCTTCAAGTTAGACTAGAATGTAGCCATGGATAGTTATGAAGCCACGTGTTCATATTAATTGCACAATACCACATATCTTCTATTCCTTTTTATCCGCATATTTTAAAATTTCATAATATTTATTTTCGCAATGGATTACTTTTTCCAAAATTATCAATGCATTGAAATATACCCGATATACGGTACTGTAGAGTTATACTACTCAATGACACTTGAGTATTGAATTGAATCTGCCAAATGCAATTTTTCCAAATTTAACAGTCATCAGTATTATTAGCTGATATTACCTCATAATATACATGTATGTCCATGGGTAAGAAAATTTGGCTGATTGGCAGTTCAAAATAAAACTGCCAATATTATGACCATCGATAATAATCTCAATGATGGGCGGATCCCATCATGAGCACGTGATACTGAAAAAAATGCCAAAATGACAGTATTTCTCACTATTTCAGTCAAGGCTATGGGCAAGGAGCAGCTTAAAGAAAAGACAAGATAGTAAATCGCCAAATTAAGGGACCACCAATATTATATTTAGGCAGTTTTGATGTAAAACGCCAAAGTTTTAGATGGCCAAATTTTCCAGCTATACAGTACTAAGTATTATAATGTACATGTATTAATGTATAATGTCTTATTGATAGGGTAATCCAGAGGAGCACACTATATTGGAGTTTGCTCAACTGGTTCAGGATATAACTGGAGTTAAAGGTAAAGTGTCAATGAAGAAGAGCCAACAGGATGATCCACACAAGAGGAAACCTGATATCACTGTTGCTAAGACACAACTGGGATGGGAACCAAAAGTAATAATAATAATAATGATGATGATTGATGGTGATTGATGATAACTTGAAAAATTGATTAGTCATAATCAGCTCAAACTTTCTACATAACATAAAGGGATTAATTTAGAGCTTCCATACTTTTAAAAACTGATTTCAATTAGCATCATAGATTACTTGTAATTACCAATGATAGTGATATTCCTTTTGATTATTTCATCATTATTTCATTAGGTATCACTAAGAGATGGTATTCTAAAGACCACTGCATACTTCAGGAAAGAGCTTGGACTAGTGGACAATGAACAAGAACAATAGCACACACACACACAAACTGCATTCATTGATTATTAATGCAACCTTTATTTGTGATACTTTTAAATTTAAACACATACACAGACACTCATGAGTCTATTCACATGTACTGGCAACAATAGCTTAAAGTTGGCAAGACATGTTACAGTATGATACAGATCTACCTACTACATGCATTGTCAATGGATCAATGTGTACTTCAAGTTGTACATTTCATACTGAGGAGAGTTCAAATGAGTCACATTTTGTAGAAAAGGGTGTTTAGCTACTGCAGCCTTTTAAATCAATGCATGTATATGTACACTGTGCTCTATAGCTGGTATAGGACTGAGTGATGTAGAGTGTCAGTTTGTAGTTGAAGTGTATTAATTACTATCATCACTTCTATAGAGTCTATTCACTTCTACTGGCACTAATATTATAAAAATTTCAAAATTCTAAAAATTGCCCATGGCCTCAAAGCAATTTTTAAAGATTCTGTAGTGATAGTACAGTGTTATTACTATTATCACTCTAAAGTCTAGTCACTTCTGCTGGCACCAATATTAATTAGCCTAAAGTTGGCAAGACATGTTGCAGTTCGATAAGATTGACATGTACATGTTTCTATCACATGTACATATTCAAACAATGGACCATTGTCATCAGTAGTCAATAGGCCATTTTTTAAAATTGGCAAAATCCTGAAAAAATACCCTGAACTACTAACATACCGGTATCTCATGGTCTTTTTTTAAAAGGCTCTAAAATCAAACAAATTTTTATTAAATTTTCTAATACATATTGATGTATTTATGCTGTGTATATAAAGTTTGAGCTGATTTCGACTTGAATTTTTCAAATTATGGCCATTTTAAAAATAAGAAAATGCCAAAATTCTGAAATTACCCAAGGCTATTGCCCATGGTTTTGGAGCAATTTTCTTACAGATTCTGTAGTGATACTAGTATTATTTTCTAACTAGGCAAATGTAAAAAATTTAATGGGGAGGAAAACGATTAACATTTTGATTTGCACCAGACAATGTTTTTACATTGATGTAGTCTAATAATGAACTTGCATTGAAGGAACCATGAAACTACACCCATGCATATCAATGAAATTACATTATTCTGTTAGAATGCTACCAGATTAGATCAATGGTATATATTATGGTCTATAGCTATGTGGCTGAATTCATCAAACCCTAACAAAATTTGTTTTCATTTAACTTAATTATCAGTTCTATATTATTTTATATAATTATTATTTTATTTATTATCAGTAGATATTTATTTCATTGTAAGCACAGAGTTTTTTCTTCTGCAGAACTTCTCTCTCTCAGTTACTACTGTTTGCACAAGTAGCAGTGGAAAGCACCTAAAGATAAAAGCACCTCATAAGATTTGATTCCAGGGATACTGCAGCAGTCAAAAGACTATAAAAGAAACATGATAGTAATCATTGTGTACAGCTAGCGGACTATAGTTTAATTTGCTTGGAAAACTCCAAAAGGATCTCCAATGTATTGCACATACAGCTGTTAGGATTGTCATGATGGTATAGTATGATGTATTACTGAACTTACTTTAGTTACATTATCCTTGCATTCTGTATCACTGTAGCAAGTGTCTTTTTCTGCAGCAGACACTGTAGTAGTAGTAGTAATGATGAATCCAATAGCAGCAACAAGGACCAAACACTGGAAGGTATTCATCATTCAGTAGCTGATATCTAGTATAGTCTCTTATATGACCTTTAGTATATGATAAAATGAATAACTATTCCAGTCAGTATGTACCTCTTTATTATAGATACTGGCTACTAATGACAATGGTCCATTGTTTGAATATGTACATGTGATAGAAACATGTACATGTCAATCTTATCGTACTGTGTCAACATTGGTGCCAAATTTTTCACTATAGACTATAGAGTTTATTCACAACTACTGGCACTAACCTAAAGCTGGCTAGACATGTAGCAGTACGATAAGATTGACAT